GCTCTTCCCGGGCTCTCTCGGCTGCGTTTCTTGCTCTCTGTGTAAAACGGGAACTCTCTCCGCTTCCAGCCGCCCTCTGCAAGCGGGCAGCTCCGCTGGGGCCGATGCCCAACGAGGATATTGACGTCAGCAACTTGGAAACGCTGGAAAGATACCGCAGCTTCACTCGCTACTTCAGGCTGGCGGACAAGGAGAGCAAGAAGCCCCGCTGGTGGAAGACGTACCGGCAGCACACTAACCCCCGGCCAGGTACTCGCAGAAGGAGCTGTGCTACGCCGGGTTTGGCTGCTGAAGGTCAAGGAGGCTGTTGTTGGGGCCACGGGTTTGTCCCCAAACCTGCCCTGTAAAGACCTGATGAGGTGCTTTGGCACGGGGTTGGTCCTTTTCCATGTAGAAGTTTGCAGAGTGCAAATGTCTTTGGGGGGAATGGATGGCAATTTTCTGGAAGGAGGGAGGCTGGCCAGGACCTGCTAAAAGACCTGGAGCAGCCTAAAGAAGTGATTCCTTGGAACCCCAGTAGTATCAGAGAAAGCAGACCAGCAACCAGAGCTTTAGACCTGCAGCAAATAATATGGTTTGGCTGCAGAGCTGCCGCAGAGACCAGACCTGCTCACCTGCTGGCAAACCTGTGGGTCTGGGTATGGAGTGAGTTGGGGGAGGAGGAGGGAACTGAAGTGTGGAGGTGCAGAGGGCATGCAGAGGTGGTAGAATCGAGTCTCTGATGTCTTGAAGTTTGTGTCTTTTTCCCACTCTCTCAAACATTTTGCAGGGGGGTTGTGTTTGGGTATTTTGGTATTCAGATTTTTTCACTTATACGATTTTTTCACCCCTCTCTGAAGAGCCAAAGACTGACATCAGCCTACCACGTGATAAGCTGCTGCGGGCAAAGGAAATCAAGGAAAGAAAAAAGATCCTGAGGGAGAACCGCCAGAATGTTGAGATGGAAAGAGCAGCGCGGCTCCGGACTGGTCTGTGCCCCGCCCCCTCCCTCTCTGCCCCGGCCACGCTGGGCACCCAGCTGCCTCCTGCAGCATTTCTTTCTTCTTGCAGCGCTGATCCCTCTCGACGAAGTCAAGGCTGAGTGGGAGAAGACCAGTGGCCCATTCCACAAGCAGCGTGTGGCAGAGCACTGTGGGATATTTCGTGACTTGTTCAAGGGGGCCACATTCACCCCCTGGGTTACCTTGAGAGTGGAGTACAGCCAAGAAGATGAGTACCTCGTGCCGGTCTACTATGGGAACATGGTGACTCCGTCAGAGGTGCGTGAGGGGAGCTGAGAACAACCTCGATGCCGTGGGAAGCCTGGGTGGTTTTGTCAGATGCTTCTAATGGGCATAATTCACTCTGGGGGATTTCTTTTACAAGGGTATTTCCTCTGTTAGGAAGGAAACGTGTTTCTTGGATGTGATAAGGACAGAGCTTTGCCACAAGATTGTTGCCTATTGGCAGGCTGATGTTTATTAACACTCCAGGGGGCTCTCCAGGTGGAGCTGGATTACTCGGTGGTGTGGCCATGCTGGTGACAAGTTCATACTCTTTGCCTTGGAAATCATGACCTGGTCTTAATGGAACCTGTTGTTTGAGTGATTTACTTTCTCTTTATGTTGATCGTTTAGGCTTCCAGTCCCCCTGCAGTGACATATGAGGCAGATGAAGGCTCCCTCTGGACTTTGCTGCTCACAAATCCAGGTGAGTAGCAGGTTCTTTAAAAAGAACTCATTTAAACAGGGTTGTTTCACTCTGCTTTTGCTTAGCTCCCGTTTCTTTTGGCTGCACAGTATCTTCTAAGTAGGGATGTATTACATATGCAGGGAAGATTGTAGCCTCCCCAAATCTCTAGCAGTTGAGAGATGGGACAGTAATGCAACAGGACCTATGTCGCAGTGTAGTGGAAGCAATTCCCTGATTCATGTCTTTTGTTTACCCCCAAACTCTTCTCTCCCTCTGCCTGGGAGGTAGGTTAGTTGATACTGTTTGCCGTGAGAAACCAAGGCACAGTGAAGTGAAGCAGCTGACCAAGATGTCCTTTTAATCTTGGAATTACATCTGTAGAGTTCTTTGCTCCTCATTTTAAGCTTAATCCTATAAGGATGAGTTACTTTTCTGCTAGGAGAGGAATGCTGAAAGGTCTTAAGCTGCACCCTCTGTTCAAAGTGGGTCTGGGCATTCTCACTTTGGGGTTGATTCAAAGACCAAGTTGTCACTAAGTCGCCTTTCTCTGTTGTGTGCATTTGCAGATGGACATTTAAGAGACACGGACTCGGAGTACCTCCACTGGCTGGTGTGAGTACTGTACATCAGACCCACATGCTGCTTAGCTCAGGGCAAGCCCAGGCAGAGAGGGCAGACACTCTTCCAGGAGAGCTCAGGAATAAGTATTTGCTAAGACAGTCTCCGTGGCTTTCACTGGTGCTCCTGCCTTTAGCTGCTTTACTTGTGTTCTGAGTCCTGCTAAAGATGCAGTAGTTCTGGGTGTTGCTGCTGTTCGGCATTCAAAACACTGGGTGTGAGCTTTCTTCCAGCGAAAGCAGCCTCTACTATCTGTTCACTTGTCAAACAGGGCATAAATCTTGTCAAAACATAGCACAGAGTGATTTGCAATCCTGGGTGAATCTGCTGGTCGTAATGGAGGGAAATGAAGGGGTATATAAGTGAAGTAAACTTCTTTTGTGTTCAGGACAAACATCCCAGGAAACGACATCAAGTCGGGTAAGGAGATCTGTCATTACTTGCCCCCCTTCCCTGCCATGGGAACTGGCTACCACCGCTTCATCTTCCTCCTCTTCAAGCAAGACTGCCCCATAGATTTCAGCGAGGACGTTCGGCCGATGCCATGGTAATTCAGGCTTTCACTGGGCAGTTTCACTCTTGCTAGGCTAGGCTGTTACTGCTTGTTATGATGACGTGTTTGTAGCTGCTGTAGGAGAGCAGTTCCTTTTAATCTGCAGGGTTCTTCAGGGCTGCTTTGAGTTTGCCACAATCCCAGCCCTGCAAGCACTGTGGAGTCCCATTGCTTTAAACCAGGTTGTTAAGAAAGTGTTTTTTCCTGACTGGGGCAGAAATGTGCACAGAGGTGGAGAAGCTGGGAGATTTTTTTTTTTAGTGACTTCTTTTTCCACCTCTTTTTTATAGACTCTAGGATGATGTGGGGAATTAGTTGCCTACCGAAGTGCTGCAGGAAAAGAGGTTGACTTCAGCTCTTGTGCTTGTGTCTTGTTTCCAGCTACAGCCTCAAGATGCGAACCTTTAGCACGTTTGACTTCTACAGAAAGCACGAGGACGCAATGACCCCGGCCGGTCTGGCATTTTTCCAGTGTCAGTGGGACAGCTCCGTTACTCGGGTCTTCCATCAGCTTCTCAGTAAGAAACGCAGCATGCAGGGATGCTGGAGGGTGCCGGTCTGTGGGCTGGGACATGGCCCTGTGGGTAACACACAGGATCAGTGAGGCGAGCTGGGGCTGTAGGCTCTTGCTTGGTCCTGGCATTTGTCTAGGATCTGTTACAGCACAGGCTGGGTACTTATCGACCCGTCCTCCACCAAACTAACAGCAGTCTGAGGAAATAACCCCTAAAAGGCCATTTTGAATGAACATTTTAAAATATCACCACGAGAGCTTTCACCAGGGCTTGCTTGACCACGTGTGTGTGTGTGTGGGGGGGGGCCCTTACTGGTGAAGGAGGGGGCCTGGGGTTCAGATCTGAGCCGTCTTGCTAACTTTCTGTATCACCCCTTTACAGATATGAGAGAGCCTGTGTTTGAATTCGTGCGGCCGCCTGTTTACCATCCTCCACAGTTAAAGTTCCCGCACGGCCAGCCCCTGAGGTACCTGGACAGATACCGAGACAGCAAGGAGCCCACCTACGGCATTTACTAGGGGCCCAGCCTCCTCTCGAGGCACTCTGATGTGGGCTGGGATGCCGGCCAGGGAGCTGCATTCACACAGCTGTGCAGCTGGGAGCCGCCTGCGCCTCTGCAGGGAAACAACAAAGTCTCAGCCCCTTGGCTCCCAGTTCCCCTGTGCTGGCAGCACTGGGAAGTGTGCAGCTGGGGGCAACAGGGGTTGGCAGTGCTGGCAGCTGTGTGGTCACAAGGCTACTTAAAGAGGACATTCAGAGATGAAAGCAAATCTATGGCCAGGTGGAAATCTTGCTACTGCTTCTGTAGCAGAGCTGATCGGTAAGGGTGGCAGGGTAGAGTCCCTCGGAGGTGTCCTGCCTTGCTTCTCTGCGGGGATCACAGTTCTCTTTTTGCCTGTTTATGGAACAAACAGACCCAGGCCAGCCTGGATTTCCTCCCGTTACAGCACTGCGGTTCGGGACTGTGTTGGCTTTCATTTGTGCAGTCCTCTTAAAGTGATGAATCTGATTAAATACACAGCAACGCTGGCAGAGCTGTCTTTATTGGAAAGATCTTGGTATCCCAGCCAGCTGGCGCAGAGCTGGGGAGCTCAGCAGAGTGCAGGGGAGAAGGGCTGAGGGCTCTTTCCCCTCTTAGATGTTGTAGGATAGAAAGAGTGCAGCTATGCAGGTGGTAAATCTGCACAAGGCCAAGGTTTGTGCAGCTGGCTTCTCCCAACAGCTACCCAAGCACGCATGGACCTCGGTCTCCTTCCCCTCACTCCCCGGGCAGTGCGTACACAGCGTGGAGAGGTGGAGCAAAGCAGATCTGCAGAGCTGCCGGGGTTGGGGCAGATGCACCATGGTGGCCTGGCACTCTGCTGCTGCCAGTCCTGTACCCAAGCTGTGGAGAGACTCTGCCTTCTGCTGTGCTCTGCAGGGCCCTTTGTGCATCCCCTATTGACATGTTTAACCCCCAAATTCCAAGATGTTCTTGCTGTTGCAGCTGCCTGTTCCCAGCTCTGGTTCACAGTGACTTTATCTGAGGATTCCCCCTTCCTCAGGAAGTGAGAGCCTGTAGCAAACAACTGAGATTGTGCTGAAATGCGCCCCTGCTGCTGCTGCTCAGGGCCCTTACCAGCTATGCCTGAGCTCCCTGAACTCTCCTCCTGCCCCAAAGGGTTCTGGGGTCTGTGTTAAGCTGGGGTGGATCAGCTGTGGGGTGACCACAGGGGGAGTGCCAGTGTCCTGCAGTTCCAGGCAGACACACAGGTCATGTTACACCCCTCTCTGAGCTTTGAATATTTGGTCAGAATTTGCAGATTTAGCCCAAAGAAATGTTTTGGGGGCTGAAGCTATGCTGGGACATGCAGGGAGTTGTGACAGCTCCCGAGTCACCTCCTGAGCCCAGGGGCAGTCTGGGGGGTGGCTCCGAGCCTGCCTGTGATACAGAAACTGCTTTGAGCCCCCAGCAGCGGCACAGCTCACCCTTGCCTGCGTGGGTGAAAGCAAAGCCATGCGTGTGGGGAGGCTGCAGAACTGTCACAAACTGAAGCCATCCTGCCAGCGTACAGCTGCTTGGGAGCGTGTGCGCAAGTGATAGCACGTCTGTGAGGGCAAGGAGATAAGGTTTGGACTGGAAGATAAGGTTTGGACTGGAAGGTTGGGAGCTTTTTCTCCTGAAACTGAGCTGTACAAAAACAAGGTAAAGATAGGCAGTGCACAGGTAGCACAATCGCCTCTGGGCAGAAGACTCCGCCTGCCACCTGAGCAGGGACTGATGGCATCTTTCTTGTGTTTTGGAGTACTGGTGTGCACGGGTGTCGCAAGGAACTTAGTAGGAAAAGGAGTGGTGGGTGTGTGCGGGGGCATGTGCAAACAGCAGGAGCTGTAGTTTAAAATGGAAAGATGCAAGGGCAGAATGTGGCCCTGGCTGGCTGCTGGCACGTGTCACAGCCCTTGTCACTGCAGAGGGAGGTGACATGTGGCTGCAGCAGCGGTGGGTGCCCCTCTGCTGGTTCCCAGGCTGGCGGATGCCAGGAGCGCTGTACTGAGGTCTCTGCCAGGAAGGACTGCTGTGGTCTGCTTGGGGACCCAGCTCTGGTAGAGGTGAGGATGCCAGGAAGTTCCCTCAAAGGGCAAAAAAGGAGTGAAATCAAATTATGCATCGTATGTGTCCCCATGCAGATGCATTCCCAGAAATACACATTGCTCTGAACTTCGATAGCCTCTTGCACGTTTCTCCCTGTGCTGTTGCTGCAGCGTTTCTTCTTCTCCGGGGCCTCCTGTGGTGCTTTGCAGCTCTCCCTGTCCCTGGGGGAAGCAGCTCCTACCCTCCCCGTCCTCTCCCCAGTGCGTGGCAGAGCCGGCAGGGCCGAGGGAGCACCCACTGCGTGTCTCTTTAAGTGCATGCCTGGCTCCGAGCCCTGACCCGCCTCTGAGCTTCAGCGTCACCATCTCTTCCTCCTCCGCTCAGCTGAGTTTCTATTTCCCCAGCTTCTTTCCCTGGCTTCTTTCCCCCATCGCCCCAATCCCCGGCACAGGCAGGATGGCATTGCCCGTCTCACTGAAGCTGGAGGAGAAGCTCGTGTGCTCCATCTGCCTGGAGCTGTTCAGGGTGCCCGTGACCTTGCCCTGTGGGCACAACTTCTGCAAGCGCTGCATCAGTGACCACTGGCACAAGCAAGAGCAGGCACCTGCCAGGGCCGAAAAGGGCTACAGGTGCCCTGAATGCCGCAGGGGCTTTGAGCAGCACCCAGACCTGGAGAAGAATGTCACCCTGTGCAGCGTGGTGGAGCTGGCGCGGGATGGTGAGGCGCGGGTCTCGGGCATGGAGAGGCGTGAGGTGGCCCATGGCGAGCTGTGCCCGCAGCACGGGCGGCCACTGGAGCTGTACTGCGAGGACGAGCG